TGTTGCTGTGTGGGTCCTGGCCCTGATAGGCAGTATCCCACAGTTTGTGTACGCCCAGGAGATTAAGGCAGGTGACGAGAAGAGAGAGTGTAGGATGGAGTACACTGTAGACAGTGCCTGGCCTGTCTCTGCTTTTCGCTTCCTCATTGGATTCATTATTCCTTTCCTGGTTATTCTAGTTTGTCACTTGGTGGTTTTCAGCAACACACAGAGGAGAATGACACGAGGTCGGACTGGATCCAAGAAAACCCTGGGGGTCGTCATCGCTATGGTGCTGAGCTTCTTCTTGTGCTGGATACCTCTGCACATCGTGGATTTCCTTATAATGACCACCCCTCAGGGTTCTTATGTGAGTCCCAAACTTCACCTGGCACACGTTATAGCGCTCTTCCTGGCTTACATCAACAGCTGCCTCAACCCTCTGCTCTATGTGTGTCTGGGTCAAAGTTTCAAAGACAGTATGAACCGCTCCCTGCGTAATATCCTCCACTTCATCAGCGAGAACATGACCACCAAGATCAGCATCACCCATATGGACAGTAAGAGCACCGGTAATGGCAAGGAGATGACAAAAATGTGATCGTGTACTGACTCTAATACACATACAGGACTGCTGTAATATACCAATTTCCATCACAGCTTAAGTTTTGCAAGTAAAATATATATAAATAAATTTAAAAAAAATTCTAGATATAAATAAGTCAATTCCGCTGACCTTACCTTGGATATGAGCCCTTAGATTTGAAAGTAAGATAAATGACTTGGTGTGTTGGAGTAAAAAAGGATTATATATGCATCATTGTTTTTGTGTGCAGTGACAGAAAAAGAAAAAAAACTCTCTCAGCTTATTCGTGGCCAAAAATGGCCACCCCCTGTTTACGTTTACAAAATGCTATAAAATGAATATATAAAAAAACATTTTGCTACTTTTATTGACTTGATTTTTTAAATTAGCACCGGTCCTAGTCATGAAAACCAAAATGTAATTCAAATTCAGAAATTATACCCTTTGAATACTAGTCAATTACATATTATGTATTGGGAGAAAATAGCAATAAAGTAAACATTTTTTTGCATATGAATGGTGAAACCTAATATTTTTTATCATCATTGCAGGTCAGTACCAGTAACTGGAACAATGACTTATTTTTACTTTATTTATTTATTTATTTTTTGGGGGGAGGGGGATGACTAGCCAAAAAGAAAATTGCACATGGTGTGTTAGTGGCCAGAAAGGCCACTTAATGACCAAGTAACCACTGAAAAGACCACTAAAATGATCAAAATTTATATTTCAGTGTGTGTGCTTCTGTGTGCATCCTCATTAGCAGCAAGATGTGCTAACCACAGTAGAGTGGTTTTTGTAGGCACACTTTGTAATTTGGTAAAAAAAAAA